CGTCTGTATTGACAGAAAATGTTGAAATGAAATTTTTTTTTGTAATGTATAAAAAAAAACGTTACAAATACAAAATATTATATTATTGTATAATTACTGTAGGGTATATAATGATTCAGTTTACATCACTTCCATAAGTTGCAAAAACACAATGCACATTCTTTATTTATAATTTTTTAGATGCAGTGAAAATCGTTGCATTTTATGTAGAAAAGTTAAATCGCCATCTTGTTCCGACCAAAGTGACGTGGTAATTACGATTTGTCGACTCGTAAGTACGTCCCAAGAGGACTTGAACGCAGCAGGAGACCCCTGATTTAGCAAATCCAGGGTGCGTCTGATTGCACTCTATTTTTAAACGCACACTCACTCCAACTTGCCATGGACATGTGACCTCTCACTCTTCTTTCAGTTTGCTCTTTTATTCACTGATTTCCGCTCATGATTCTCCACACCAGTTTCTGTCTCTCTCCCGATCGGCTCTTACATTTGTTGTCTTTAAAATTGTGCAGTTCATTCTGAAACCATCACAACCTACTGGTTGCTGGTAAGGGATGGGCATATCCATTCAAAGTATCAATATATCGATACTGACGCAAGTATCGAAAGTATCGATACTCAAACGTGTTTTATTTACCAGTGATTTTGTTAATTTAACAACAAAAAAATGTGTACAATATGCATTGAATTGGACGAATAACCTTTGTTAGAGAGTAATTAAAGATGAAGGACTGCTTCTGCTGAGCACATGTTTGGACGCTGATGGAATTCTCCAGACTCTGGTGATACACAGCTGCTGCAGATGGTTTAGGTCCATTTACTAAAACTCTCTCCCACACACTGTAAAATAAAACTGAAAAACATTAATGAACTTATTTCAATCTGTGTGCAAGCCAAGTGTTGTCCTAATAGGGAATAACTAAAATCAGAGTAGATTCTAGTTCAGCTTGCACTTTTCCAGTACAGTAAGATCTTGCTTACAGTGATTTTCGCATAAGTCAGTGTGATGTGTGTGCAGCTAATGTTACACACTTCATACAGCACTGATGCATGCATGCATGTCCTGAAACACAGGAGATATATGTGTGTGTGTGTGTGTTTGCTGACTGCTTCTGATTACAGTTGTGCGGTCAGTTTTAAATCAGATTGTTAGCGGATGAAAGGAAAGCCCCAGCAGGAATTACTTCAGCACATGTCAGGACTCAGGACTCTCATGCTTGTGCTAATAACCACAATCATATGGACAGAATATTTTCAAGTCAGAGAGGATTGACATTCTTTGATCAAAATCAATAACATATGAAGACACATGCGTATCATATGCACGCCAAAGTACATTTTTGTGTGTCAATACCACGAGTTTTCGTTTTTATTTGGCGTATTATTCATACGCATTTTCATGAGACCGGGCTCTATAAAATATAACACAATATTAACTTCATAATTTTTTTTAAAACTATTTTATAAAATCAATATCACATTTGCAATCATGCTGATATTGTTAGACAGTCTTTCTCCTCGACGAGAAATATCGTCATTTTTTAATTAAAAAAAAAAGTTTGTGTGTGCTATTCTCAGCGTTCTCACTATAATGGACAATAGAATTAAATATATAGTTCAGTCATGAAACTCTAGATGGCGCAGGCAGACGGGGGGTTAACGTAACTGATGATATTCAGAGAGTTAAGCGACTTGGCACAAGCTGATTGGTTCATGCAGCATATGCAGCCAATGAGCTTACTGCCTTGCATTTATAGCTGGCTAGCATTCACTTGAGATTCCTGCAGCGTGCTTTCATAGTTCTCTGGAACCCTCCACCTTCCCCAGCTCCACCTGTATAGATCTGCTACGGGGTTATTTTATATGCTATTTGTGCAGCAGCAGCATGTCTTAAATACTCACGGCACCGTATCGCCATATGCATTGGCAGTAGCAAGTTCCTGTACTTGCTTGCAGCAGCAGCAATAATCTACAACTACAGCAATAACCAGCAGCAGCAGCCATTCAGCAGCAGCAGCGTAGCAGATCTGTTCCGCCAAGACCAAATACATTAACATTGTCACATCCATCACCATGCTGAAATGTTCCGAGAGTTGTCATGACTGAACTGTGTTTCTGTTTGTCTCCCAGTACTCACATGTGCGAATTCATTCAAACCCCTGCTCTCATCCAAACATTGACATTTTAGTGTAGTAGAAGTTTTGTATCAGAGAAGCAGTATATTTCTTTGAGAATATGGTAAAAGGTTAAGTTTAAAGCCTAATTTTACTAATTTGTGTAAGGTTTCGTTATGCAACCTACCTTGCAATGTGTTTCCGTATAAGCGTGATCTGAGTGTTTTGCAATGTCAGCATTATTTTTTATTTTATTATTATTATTATTTTGGAGAGTTTGGAAAATTGCACATTTTGCTGTGGCCGATATCAGTCACAGATACTTTTTTGAAAGCTCCCTTTGCTTTCACTTTTACAAAATGTACCACTCTCTTAAATTTCAGATAACTGACATTTTGCCAAATACTAACATTAAAAAAAAGTAGCTAATGAATAAGTTCTGTTACTGTCAAAGAGTATCTCGACGTTCTGGCAAACAGCAAACAGCATGAGATCACACGCAGCAATTATACGTTCAAAAATAAGATCGTATATGCATTATAAGCTCCAAAACTGCTCCAGTGGGAAATCATCAATATTCAGAAATGGGTGCAGTTGTGCAATTTTATTTTTATGTTTAACTTAGTATTTTAACTTTTAGTAGTAGTTTGAAGTTGTTTGTTACTTAAAAAGAAGAAAACCCTTAACTAAATCACTGTTTGCCGTGTCATTATGAACTCTTTCCATTTACACTTGTCACTCGCTCACATACATGTCTCAGCAAAACATATTCTGATCTACAGTTACCAAGCAATATGCAAAAGTAATAGAATTCATTTTCATTATTACTGAAGTGGCAGGCAGTGTGATTTTACTTCATTAGATTTTATGTATGCACTGGAACAGAAAAAGACAAAAATCATTTGGATTTCAGCACGAAAGGCTGCAGCTGCTTTCCCATAATTCCCATAATGCACTGTGTGCCAGTAACTATACAGTGTAAGAATAGTGAATGAGTCAGGAAGAGTGATTTATTCACATTTTGATTTAAATTCACAGATGATTTGTTCACAATAATAACAGAAGCCTGTATTAAAAGAATAAACATGTCTTCTTAGACCGTGTTAGTGGACAGAAGTGTGAGTTTATTTTCTAAACCTCAACAGGGCCAAATATTTAGTTTCTTTGCATCTTTTTTTTTCAGTGCGAGTATACTTGGACTAAAGTGAGGCATCATATACAGATATAATGTAAACATTTCTGCTCATCTTTACAATAGCTGTGTCTCATTTCGAAGGCTGCGCCCTCTGGAGGCATTAGTAGGGCACATACGTCATTAAGGATTTCTTATTAAAGAAAAGCAACCATAATAAATAATATTCCATTGTCATTTCTTTCTTACTTTGCAGTGTTTCTTTTCTTAAATGTATGCAGCTGATGCAACCTCTGTGAAATAAGACACTGCTAATGTAGGGATGGGTTCATTTTCTTCTTTCATTGGGTTTCTGTTTGTCCTTGGATTGCAGTGTCATTCGTTTGGTAGTAGATGGTGTAAAGCAAGTGAAGTGTGAAAATTGCTTCTCGTTGGTTGTTGTTTAGTACATTTAAAGGACAAGTCCACTTCCAGAATCAAAATTCCCTGATAATTTACTCACCCCCACGTCATCCAAGATGTTCATGTCTTTCAACATTCCAGGAATTTTCTCCATATAGTGGACTTCAATGGTGGCCAATGATTTCAAGGTAAAAACTGCAGCTTCAAAGAGCTCCACACCATCCCAGCCGAGGAATAAGGGTCTTATCTAGCGAAACGATCTGTCGTTTTTCTGAAAAAAAATTATATTGATCCACTCTTTAACCACAAATGCTGGGCTTGCTCTAGCTCTGCGATGCGCATTAAAAAACGTAATTTCTTTGCGACTGAAGAAAGAAAGACATGAACATCTTGGATGACAAGGGGGTCAGTAAATTATCAGGAATCTTTTACTCTGGAAGTAAACTTATCCTTTAAGACACATCTCTGTGTTTGTGTGCATCCATTTAACCATATTTTGAAGACCCAGAAGTGAGCTAAATATGGTAAAACCTCCAAAAAAGAGAAACTCCTTTTGGGGATGTCCTCATTTATAAAAAAAAAAAAAGTAACGGTATAATAATAGAGTGCTTCCCTTTTACTGAACCCAATTCTATGCAAATCAGTGCATTTATCACCAATCCATGCTTTGAAGTGCATTATGTAGTTCATTTTGATGTGGTTTTGATTCTTGTCCAAATCTCTCCCACACAGCACGCTTACGTCTTTACAGAAAAACAGCTCTGTTAACCTATATTTAGAGTGTGTGTGTGTGTGTGTGAGAGAGTGTGTGTGTGTGTGAGAGTGAGAGTGTGTGCGCGTGTGTGCGTGCGTGTGTGTGTGTGAGAGTGTGTGTGTGTGTGAGAGTGTGTGTGTGTGTGTGAGAGTGTGAAAGTGTGTGTGTGTGTGTGTGTGTGTGTATATATACAAAGCTGCCGTCAGTAACTGTGGATGTTGACAGCACAGATGAACAGAGATCTGATAAACATGTACGCCGGTTGCATCTAATGTGAATTTAGTGGTGCATCTTGCATCTCTTCATCTCTGGCGCTCTCTTGAATGCTGGACTCGAGGCCACTGATGCGCGTGTAATTAATATTCCTCTGAGGTTCGTCAGAGCGCAGGAAGCATCCGAGCTACTAGCTATTTTTACCAGAGTTTATATCCAGATTAAAATACTTCTCTGTGTTCTTTAGGCCTGTTTACACCAAGACACACAAAATAGCTACTCTCAGTAAAACACATACACACACGAACTGAAATGCAGCCCCCTGAAGTGTCAGATTTTGTTCAGCAGTCGAATATAATGTCTCTGTTTTCTGTTTGTCTGTCAGACGGCAGCAGAGTATGCCAAGTCGCATCTTTCCGTCATGTTGCGGCAGCAGCTTCAGCGTTACGAGACGCAGAAGGAGAGCAGCACTCTGACCCGCCAGTCCATCCTCAAACAGCAGATACTCGACATGGACAAAGAGATCCTGGAGAAACTGTCGGCCTCCTATGATGAAGCCGGTGAGAGCTCACAGCAGTGAACCTGTAGTCTGATGGATTGGTTCTGGATATTTATTTAGTCTACAAGCATTAGACATCGGAGCTGAGCACTTACAGTAGTTCATCTAAAAATGAAAATGAAATCGGGCCTTTCAAGATTAGAGTTTGTTTCTTCATCAGGTTTGTAGAAATGTAGCATTGCATCAGTGTCTCAGCAATGGATGCTCTGCAGTGAATGGGTGCCGTCAGAATGAGAGTCCAAACAGCTGATAAAAACATCACAATAATCCACAGCACTCCAGTCCATCAGTTAACATCTGGAGAAGACAAAAGCTGAAACACATCCAGCATTAAGACATTTTTAACTCAAATACATAGAGTCCATAATCCATAATAACTCTTCCTCCGGTGAAAAAGTGTTCTGGTGTGAATCAGGAGAGAAATCTGCACAGATCAAGCAGCGTTTAAACAGCTCTAAACTAATATGTGGCTGGATTTTGATGTGAGAGACAACAGCAGATGCACTTTTTCACCGGAGGAAGCGTTATTATGGATTATGGACTTTATGGAAAATTAAAAGCGGATGTGCTTAATGCTGGATGTGTTTCAGCTTTTGTCTTCTCCAGATGTTAACTGATGGACTGGAGTGCTGTGGATTACTTGTGGATTATTGTGATGTTTTTTGTTTCTTCATCAGGTTTGGAGAAATGTAGCACTGCATCAGTGTCTCAGCAATGGATGCTCTGCAGTGAATGGGTGCCGTCAGAATGAGAGTCCAAACAGCTGATAAAAACATCACAATAATCCACAGCACTCCAGTCCATCAGTTAACATCTGGAGAAGACAAAAGCTGAAACACATCCAGCATTAAGACGTTTTTAACTCAAATACATAGAGTCCATAATCCATAATAACGCTTCCTCCAGTGAAAAAGTGTTCTGGTGTGAATCAGGAGAGAAATCTGCACAGATCAAGCAGCGTTTAAACAGCTCTAAACTAATATGTGGCTGGATTTTGATGTGAGAGACAACAGCAGATGCACTTTTTACTGGAGGAAGAGTTATTATGGATTATGGACTTTATGGAAAATAAATTAATGATGGATTTGTGTCTTACAAACACTCAGCTTTTGGCTTCACAATGTGTTTTTATCAGCTGTTTGGACTCTCGTTCTGACGGCACCCATTCACTGCAGAGCATCCATTGCTGAGACACTGATGTACATACGGTGAACAGCACTGCTTCACACAGAGCTGTGTACTCTTAAGCAGAGCTGGGTAGATTACTTACAAATTGTAATCCGTTACTGATTCCAAATCACATGACAAATATTGTAGTTAGTACCGTAATTACACATTTTAGATAATATAATCAGAGTACTTTTGACCTATCTCGTTTATTGCATTAATTTAAATAGGATAATCTTGTACCATATTGATATAAAAATACATAGGTTAAAAAAATATATTCTTGCATTGTTATTAACAACATTAAGTGCATTAATCATTATATTATGTCAAGGTTTCCCAAACTGGGGTTTGTGAAGCAACTGCAGAGGGTTTATGAGTTTAATGAAAAGCTAATAGTTAATTAAATCATAAAAATGTTAAATTAAAATAAGTCATTATAAAATCAATCAAAATAAACACACATTAAATAGAGAACCATGAACATGCAAATGTGATGATTATTAATAAATCTCAGGGTTACTTCAAGAAAATATATTAGGTGAAAGATGATCAGATGATTAAAAAAGTCTGAATGTGAATTTTTGAATTTTGAATATGTGCATTTTAATGTGTTTGAAAGACAAAAGCCTTCTAAAGACATCGAAATACATGGTTAAATAACAAAATAACAAATATGTGTTCATCACTAGTCGATGCAATGTTCAAACACTTCTTAAACCTGAAATGATTTTTGTAAATGCAGTGTAGCACATGACTAATAACTGATCTCTGTGTGAACGTCCACAAAACTGGAAGAATTTCTGAGTGTATATAAACAGTGGACTATTTTAGAAAGGAACATTAAAAGATGAAAAAGAGGAATTAGAGAGAATCAATAAATATATAGCTATTGTGTAAATAATATGTAATCGTGTAACTCATAAAAAAGTAACTGTAGTCTGATTACGAGTATTTTAAAATGTAATTGAATCTAATTACGAGTACTAAATTTTTGGAATCTGATTACGTAATCCAGATCAGATCAGATGCCCAGCTCTGACTGTGAGTAGTTGGCAGTATATACAACATAATATCCAATAATCACAGTTAGCTGCACTGCCTCAGTGGGAAATCTTCTTCACAGATGTATTACAATGCTGCCACAGAGCTGTTAGTGATGAGTGTGTTCTCTTTCATGAGGTGTTTCGCTCTTTTCTGCAAGCACTGTAATTGATAAGGTCAGCTCCTGTGCTCCTGTGCTCTTGTGTCTCGGTCAGGCACCACGTGTCTGGTGGCTCTGCTGTCTGAGAAGGAGCTGACTGTGGCTAATGTTGGCGATTCGAGGGCGGTTCTGTGTGATAAAGACGGTAATGCTGTCCCGCTGTCACATGACCACAAACCCTACCATCTTAAAGAGCGGAAGAGAATCAAGAAAGCAGGTGAGCAGCTGATCTAAT